TATTTAGGCCACAGGTGAGGCCTAAATAAGGTAAGGGAGGGGGGTTTAGCTTATTTAGGCCACCTGTGGCCTAAATAAGGTCACCCAAAAAGGACATACAAAGAAAGTTCAGACCAGCAATTAGAAAAAGCAGCCTGGTCTGCTGGAATCTTGAGTTTTGTTCCACCACAATAATACTCCTGTGCTGGAAGCCAGGATAGTGGCAGGACTTTTATACTGTTACACTTGGAAAACATTTGAACGACAAGACTATTCACCTGACCTGGATCTCTGTAACTTCCATCTTTTTCCTAAAATAAAGGAAGCCGCAAAAGAGGTGATCAGGTACCTGGACAAAATCATTTACACCACTGCATTTGATGGCTGGTTGCAAAATTGCGTTGATAACAGCCATGGTTGCATTGAATGTAGTATAAGGTAAAGGTATGTTTTGCCAAATGTCATAATATCATTTTTACAGACAGTTATCTTTTTTTAGGAATGTGGGAATGAAATGGACCTCTCACTTCTCAGTTTTCACCTTATTTGTGCTCCATATGCCTTGACCCACCTAATGACATTCTGTTCTCCTTGTCAAGGCTCTCTCAGCACAGTTGATCCCCTACCTGTTGAAGCTCCTGGAGGGAGGTCTGGAAGCCATGGAAAACCCAGCTGCCACAAAGGCTCAGATTGTCAAAGCCCTTAAGTCTATGCAGAGAAGCTTGGTACATGGAGAAAAGGTAAGCCAGGAAGCTTAATGCATGGAGACAGGTAAGTCAGGAAGCTTAATTCTTGGGGAGAAAAATAAACCAGGAAGCTTGATGCCTGGGGAGGAGATAAATCAAGAAGCTTCGTGCATGGGAAAAAAGTATGCCATGAAGCTTGGTGCATGGGGAAAAGGTAAGCCAGCAAGCTTAATGCATGGGAAGAAGGTAAGTGAAACAGCTTGGTTTATGAAAAGGAGGTATGACCACCTTATTGAAAGATGACTAATGCTTATGGTTTACTCATAATTCACATTCAGAGTTACTGCCATTACTGGGTTTAAGTGTGGCTGGTTTTAGGTGAACTAATGCATTGGTATTTAGTTTGGTATTATTTGTAAACGCATGGATATTGAGGAGAGATAAACATGTCTGACAGGTTTGAATTTTGCCCTTTTCAAAAACCCCACTTAAGAAGTCACACCCCCCATCTTTATGTAACATCGTCTCACATTGCTTTAAAGTTCTGGTCTACTCAAGCCAGAAGAAGGGAAAGGAAAGTCTCATCCCCTCCCCTCATAGATGAGAGGGTGGCTGCTGTGACTACAGTATGGTAACAGACAAATGAAGATACTTGATCAAATAACTTGCGCATGCAGAAGTCTAAGTCACATCTTCTTCACCAGTGAAAAGCTAAACGATTACTCTACAGACATCGGTACTCAACCGCTTGAGATAACAACAACCTACTGTTCTCAACACTGTATGGTAATTTTTAAATTAAAAGCCAGGCTTTGTTTGAACTATCATGAGTCAAAGAGGTCAAAGTATTAGACTTTTCCAATTCTCAATTTTGAAGTGGTTCTATATCAAGCTCTTCCTTGACAATGGCTATTACACAGATGGTCATGAACTTGGCATGTCAGTGCTTGGAAGTTGGAGGTTGAAACCCAAGTGAGGATTTTTCCTTGTTTTGGTCTTCCCCTCCCCCTGCACAATATCTTATTAGTGATACAAGTTTGTCTTTTAAAAATGCATGGTCTGCATCTCGACGAACATTAGCATAGCAATAAGAAAAATCAAATGATGCCCTTGTTCTCACTATATTATCTTGCTCTTTCAGGTCACAGAAATTCTAGACAAATCTGCAGTCTGGAAGGACTATAAAGATCAAAGACACGACCTGTTTATCACAGACACCAACATTGCTGGTTACCTTACAGGTAAACTTAATAACAATCATACAAAGTATTTGCTTTTGCACCCTTTTTTTTTCCAGTCTCATCCTCTGTAGTTTTGTCTCTTTATTTTGGGTAAATTGGTCATTAATTCAAAACAAGTGAACCTTTTTTATAGATCTTCATCAAGTAAATGAACTCCCGGTAAAATAGACCGGTTTTCGATTATTGCCGAAAAGTAATTTGATGTCCAAGTCACCGTAAAGCAATGTGCCCAAGCCGCTATCAGCAACTCACGGGCACAGGAATTCTGACCGCGAGCCGCTGGGAGCGACCTGCCGGAGATAAGGAGTTAAGAGTGTAATAAATAAACCCACTGGGCTCCAGCAAGAGATGCAACACCTCAGATAATTGGAAAACACTCCTGGAAATGTGTACTCAGTATACATGTATGTTGTATTTATTTGGTGTATAATCTCTGCTTTTTTTCTTCTTTTTCCACTTTTTTTTCTCTTTTTAGTCCTCTTTCTTAAAAGTGACTCTGGGACTAGTAGGGTGTAAAATGTAAACATGTACTTTTTGTGCATGCTCTGGTATGCTTTACTTGTGTGTTGTTCACCTTTGAACTTGCAGTATTTCCATAAGCATGCTGTATTTATAGCCTGCAGTATTTATTGGCTGATCATGTCTTTGAAGGTTGCTTCCTGTTCTTTTAATATGATCACATTTTAAAAGCCTTATTGCTAGCGGCATGATTCAACCGCTTAAGTGACAAAATTTTCGAAAATCGCTTTTTGATCCCTTTATTTGATGCAGCCTTTGATACGCCTTATGTTAAAATCCCGAGTTTGAAAGATTACTGCAAAGTGTTTCAATCCTTCAATAAATTAGATAGGACGAAGCTGTTGAACACAAATACCTTGAAAAGGAACAAACGCAAATGGAAGTGGACAGCACACACAGTGTAATCGAAAAGTCCTTTTAAAAAACGGTATGGTCTATGTGTTCATGGATAATCTTGAACATTTTTAAGAAAGCAAAACAATATCTGACGCGCGCGCCCCCCCCCCCCCCCCCCCCCCCTTTGATGGCAGATTTCTGGACCATTCAGACCTCGCTGAAACAAAAACGACCCCGTTGTCACAAACGTTTGTTGCCTTTGATACACACTAAACAAAAACATCAGGTACAAATTGAACATTAAGATGACCAAATAAGTGAAATAATTACTCTTAACTTTATAATTACTCTTAAAACTATTATGATTTGCTTTTGTCAATTACTCAAATGCCCAAGCGACCATTGGCGCTCTTCAAATGGTGTTGATTAATGTGATTCAAACGCCTAGATGTCGTCATACTGTCACTTAGGAGCTTGAATCACGCAGATTAACCGCCTATATCCAGTAACTTATGTAAGAAAGCTTTTTGGGTTATTTAAAAATTTAGTTACAGACCATCGTCCTACATCATATTATATTATTATATTATCTGAATTTCAGATTCATAGATACGAGCATAAAGAAATAGAACAGTTTTTTACTTCTCCTGAAAAATTTGTCTCTTGGCACGTAGGCGGTTGAATCACATGGGTAGCGTTACGTTTTACTTTTCCTCTGTCTGTACTGTGCAGCTTTTCTGATTCTCTTTGATTTGAGGTAATACAACTCAATAGAGTACTTCAGTAATTCTTTCAAATAGGCTTTTTAGTTCAGTTGTTATCCCTTTGAACTCTTATTCTGTGAGCCTTACGACCTGTGCACCCATGCTCATTAGGGGCAACTGCTTCATTTACACCACCGCATACTGTTTGATATAAAGAGAAACACAGGGGTATTAGTATGAGTATAAATAAAGATAAGTTAGAGCTGGGAAAAGAAATGGGATGGAAGGACAAAAGCTAGGGTCAAGTAGTAAAGAAGTAGTAGAAGCTGTACTGCAGTTGGTACCTTCGCCCACCCTACTAACACTGCACATGGTGTGCTTTCAGTCTATACAGTTATGGCATTGTACTTGTATTTGTGTCATGAAGCGGTAGAAACAGGTGCTCGTTAAAAATGTTGGGCATATGGAGTTGTTGGTATCATCTTAAACCTTGTCCATTTGTCTATTTTTAAATTAACTACCCCCCGTGGGTCGAGCGGATATAAATAGACCCACAGCTCCGCCAGCAGGAGGTGCAATCCCTTCAATGGTGAAATGTCACCCGTGGACATCTACGCTCAGGTGCACATGGGCCACAATTGCTTAGGGGTATCGTTTGTCTTCTATCGTCTTTCTTCCTTCTTCTTTCGTCCTTCCCTGAGCTGACCGGGGAATAAAATAAAAATAGTTGGCTGTCCCATCAACAGGGGGTAACACCCCCCCCCCCCTGATGGTGGGATACCACCCATACATCACTAGCTCTCTGACGTAGGGGTGGCATCTTCTGTCCGCTCTTGCTATGTCTTCTGTCCATCTATCTTTCTTTCCGATCTTTCGACCGAAGGTTCGGTGTAGCAAAAAAAATCGACCCCAAATCCCTGCAGCGCCAGGCACCCTTCTGACCGTGGGGTGCAACCCGTATGACTGGAGAAGGGGATCCTGGTGGCTGAGGTGTGGCTTCCCTCACCAACACGCCTCTTTGGCCCTGGATTCGGTCTAGACGGGCGGGTGTAGCGGCCTACTGCTCTCATTCGGTTGCAACCGAGTATGAACTGGTCTTTTGGCCAATCTTGGTTGGAAGGCAAGATTTCTTGCCATCTGATTGGGAGTATACCTCCAGGGTAGCCCTGACACCAGCTATGGACTTCCGAGCGGTGTCCCCTTGTTGGACTCAGTGGCAGGTGGGGATCCCTGGAGATGAATGTAAACGTATAATACATGGATCATAAAAATAATTATCCCCCTACCCCAATTCCCAGCAAGTCCCTGTCACGAGGAGTGGGTGCGAATCTTGACCAGGACAAAAGAAAAAGAATGAGAGAGGACGACACTCTTAGTATCTGGGACCTGCCTAGACAGACATCACTAGGATGGTCACCTTATTTGGTGATCTCCTCAGCCGATGAGTCAAAAAAAAGTAACATCTTTAAGGGTCTTTGCTATTGGCAAAGCTTTCAGAGCCTGTGGCATCCCCAGACTCAAGAAAGTCTCCCCCCAGGGGTCTAGAGACCTCTTGGTGGAGGTTGCCAATGTGGCCGATTCGGTACTGTTACGGAAATGTGCGTTGTTTGGCAGCATCCCTGTAAGTGTTGAGCCTCACATTAGTCTCAATACTTCCAGGGGTGTTGTAAAAAGCCGTGACCTGGACGGCTGTACGGAGGAAGAAATGGTGCGAGAACTGGAAGGCGTCACCCACGCTCGTCGTGTCATAGTGCGGCGAGATGGGAAAGAAATCCGCTCCAACACTTGGATACTGTCTTTCGACTGTCCAAGACCTCCTACCAAATTGACAATAGAACACTTGGAACTAGAGGTAAAACCCTACATTCCAAACCCGATGCGTTGTTTTAATTGCCAGCGCTTTGGACACACTAAATTAAAATGCCGGCGAAATGCTATTTGCCCTCGCTATTGTAAGGAGGGTCACACCAAGGAATCCTGCACGTCAGTTCCTTGGTGCCCAAATTGCCAACAGGGAGGACACCCAGCATATTCAAAGGACTGTCCCAAGTATTCACAAGAAAAGGCCATCCTGACCCACCGAGTGAAGTTCGGAGTCACCTTTACCCAGGCTAAGGCAGCCGTCTTCCCGATGGGATTAGAGTCAACACAGAAGACGTACGCAGACACTGCCAAGGCAAGTCCCAAAACAGCTGACAATGAAAAAAAAAAAATCCTAAACGTCAAAACACTACGTGTGTCCAACAACAGAAATCTAAACCAAAAAAGCGCCATGTCAACCAGGAGGAGGACATGGAGCTCTCACTCCACTCATCCCCTCCAAAATCTCTCTCATCTTCATCTTCACCCCCAACACCCTCACCATCTCAACCTTCATCCTCACAATCATCCTCATCCTCATCCTCATCCTCACTTACATCATCCTCACCCCCATCCTTATCCTCACCACGCTCATCTTAATCCCCACCACCAACTACAACTTCATCTTCACCACCCTCATCACCTCCATTCCATCCCCTTCATCCTATAAAGCCCCTCCACCCACTCCCCGCACCCGCTCCCCCTCCTCTACCTGCATCTGGGACTCCCGTCCTCCTCCCCCTCCACACTCTCCTTCAAAAAAAGCTGCGGTCCAGCCTAACAAAACAGAAACAACGGTCTCCTACGACCAAAAAGAAATGTACTGAACCCGTGCCCTCAAAATAAACAAAAATGGCAGTTCTTCAGTGGAACATTTGCGGTTTGCGTGCAGACCAGGCAGAACTCTCCCATCTTTTGACCTTACACACCCCAAATGTTATCTGTCTACAAGAAACTAAATTGCCAACACCCACATTCACATTAAAAACTATATAATTTACAACCAAATACACCGACAACCAAATCGCCTCTGGGGGCAACTCCATTTTAATAAATAACCAAACACTACACAGACATATACTAATAAATACAACACTTCAGGCAGTTGCGGTCAGGATCACCCTACACCATCCTATAACTATATGTTCAAATATATCCCTCCAAATTATCCTCTATCCTTAAGAGAACTAATAAACCTCAGAGAAAAGCACCCACAACCCTTCATCATGTTAGGAGATTTTAATGCCCATAGCCCTCTTTGGGGAAATGAACCAACTGACGCTAAAAGTAAAATCGTAGAAGATTTATTAACAAAAACCAATACTAGTATTTTTAACAATTCCCCAACATTTCAAAATTCAAATAACTTAAACTTTTCCTTCATAGCTTTAACCCTGTGTGATCCAGAACTAATTCCAGACTTTCAGTGGTCGGTCCTGGACGACCCCTATCAACCTAATTCCAGACATTCCACACCAAACTCCTATCCCGGACCGTTTCAATCTTAAAAGAGCAGACTGGGATGGGTTTCACATGGAATGCCTCCAAAGAACTCAACCCATCTCAAAAACATACTTTTGATCAATTTCATGGAACCCTTCTAGAAATCGTGCAAAGACACATACCAAAATTATCCACCAAACCTCGAAAAAATAAATGTTGGTTCACTGAAGACTACCAAAAAGCTGTTGCGGCCAAAAAATCTGCTCTCAGGAAGTTCGTCAACTCTAAAACAAACGAAAACCTCACAAATTTCAAAATTGCATGAGCCCAAGTACACAGAATAATCAGAACGAACAAAAAAACATCTTTTCGCAATTATGTCTCTAAAATAAAGAGACAGAAAAAAGTTTCTTTCCGGAAATTTTTCTACCCAAAATTACAACCCGGAATTTTAAAACATTGAAAATGTCTTCTGAAAAGACAACTTTTGACTTTACCTCTCCAAATGAAGAAAACTATAATTGCAGCTTTTCTCTTGATGAACTAAAATGTAACATGCAGAGCTATCAAACACAGCTCCAGGCCCTGATCAAATACACAACGAAATCATCAAACATCTCCCAGACGAAACACTCCTATTACTCCTTGATATTTACTACGAACTCTGGTATTCTCAACAATTTCCAGACAGTTGGCGTCTTGCCACTATTATACCAATCCCAAAACCAGGAAAAGATCACTCTAACCCATCAAACTACCGTCCCATAGCACTTACAAACTGTTTCTGCAAACTTATGGAAAAACTTATTGACAAACGTCTGATGTGGTTTCTCGAAACCTCAGACTCTTTATCCAATTTCCAATACGGTTTTGCAAAAATTGCTTTACTATTGACCATCTCGTCCGACTTGAAACTTTCATTTGGGAAGCTTTCATTCGGAAAGAGCATCTTGTGGCTATTTTTTTTTTACTTAGAGAGAAAGCCTTTTACACCACATGGAAACATGGTATTTTAAAAGACTTTTATGACTTGGGCTTACTCGGAAATCTTCCCAAATTTATACGAAACTTTTTGAAAGATCGTTCATTTCAAGTAAAAGTAGGTTCAACCCTATCAAAGGTGTCCCCCAGGGAAGCTTCTTGTCACCCATTCTTTTTTAAATCAAAATCAATTCCATCTCAGAAACCCTTAAAAACAATATTGACAGCTCACTTTACGTTGAGGACTTCCTGATCTGCTATAAATCAAAATCCAAAATAGATTACATTGAACGTCAGCTTCAGCTTCAACTTCATAAACTGGAAACTTGGGCAAACGGGCACGAGTTTAAATTTTCTACAGCAAAAACAGTGTACATTTTTGTCTGTCGCACAAGTGTGTGCGTCAACCAGACTTATATTTTTGGGGAGAAAATTCCTGTTAAAAAACAAGATCGTTTCCTGGGCGTAATCTTCTACAACAAACTTTCTTTCGTACCACACTTGAAAGACCTAAAGACGAGGTGTTGGAGTGCTCTCTATGTCTTAAAAGTATTATCCAATCCCGAATGGGGAGGGGATACTGATATACTTCTTCAACTCTACCGCTCCCTTGTCCGTTCCAGGCTGGACAATGCCAGTCCTGTTTACGGATCAGCTAGAAAGTCTTACCTTAAAATTTTAGACCCTGTTCAGAACCAAGGCCTTCGCCTTGCCCTAGGCGCTTTCCGTACTTCACCTGTAGAAAGTTTACAGGCAGAAGCTCACAAACCATCTTTTGAACTTAGAAGAAAAAAAAACTCTCTTTGCAGTACGCTTTGAAACTTAGCTCAGTACCCCAAAAACCCTTTCCACAAATGTGTCTTTGGCCTTTCCGAAGATCTAAAAACTCTATCCTCCTTAGGAAATAAAGTAAAGCTCTTTCGGAAAAAGAATCCAGAACGATCTCCAAGACATTGATTTTTCTAAAGTCATAATCGAGCCCTTTGCCATGTCCAGCATACCTCCATGGCATTTAACCAAACCAAACATAGATACAAGTCTTGAAAAACACAACAAAAAATCTACAGACAAAACTATAAACCTAAACTCATACAAACAGCTAATAAACAGATACTTTGAAGCAGAGAAACTTTTTACAGATGGATCCAAAAATGACTCCTCAGTAGGAGCTGCTGCCATTGCATCGCCACACAGCTTAAGATTTAAGGAAACTCAACCCAGAAGCCTCAATCTACACTGCTGAGGCTACAGCTCTTGGAATGGCCCTAAATATAATAGATCAATCAACCAAGTCTACTTTCCTAATCCTTTCAGACTCTCTCTCTTGTCTGAAATCTTTAGAGCGTTCTGACACCTGTGACAACAGAATTTTAAAACTTATAATTATAATTAAACTGCTTATTTTACATCAATCTGGAAAAACTATTACAATAGCTTGGCTTCCAAGCCATGTAGGAGGCAGTGATGGCAACGAAGCCGTTGACCAATTTGCCAAAGAATCTCTAAAACTACCTGAAAACAAAAATAGTACAATCCCTTTCTCTGACATGGAACCAAAATCTTCCTGGTCCCAAATTTGGAACCAGCAAATACACAACAAACTCCATTACATTCAACCGAAACATGCGCCCAGGAAACCCCTGTCTCTCCTACGAAGAGAAAATGTTCTTAGGATGTGTCGACTTCAATGATATACGTACAAAATATTTTAAATGTAAAGGTGTCAAAACCCTTTTTGACATTGTTGACCCAAGAAAAATTTTAAGTTATATTAAAGAAATAGGACTGTTTAATAGGACATAAAAATATATAGTTACCTTTGTCAGTATACATTCACTAAGATTTAATTGTAAATACAAATGTAAATAAAAGTCTTACCATATTTACAAAAATTTTCATAAATGTCTGTCTGTCCGTCCTTTTAACATGATGATGATAATATGACCGTGTTCAGTTGCGAGCGCCGAAAAACTCTTACTAAAACACAATTTGATCCTACATTTGTTGCAGTAAAACCTGTTGGAACTTGAATGACCAAAATTGAGTCGATAGTGCCGTAAAACACCTACTCAATCAAACAATCAATTAAATTAACAAAATACCCATCTATCTTGAATAAAAGTCAAGATATCTGTTATTGAAGGAGATGGGGGTCATCTGGTTTCAGAGGTAAAATTAGCAAGAAAATGGCCGCCAAAGGTCGGTGACTTCCAAAGCTTGAAAGTCCTTGGAAACTAAATTTACATTTTTTGTGCCTTTAATCAACGTTTTTCAGTAAAATCCACAAAGCAATGTATTCTTAAATGGACCTAAAAGATGTTGTGCCAAAAAATTTTAATTCAATAAAAATTGCCGAGCAGGAACGAAAATGACATTTTCTTCAATTTCATTATATATTGACAAGTGCCTGATTTCACCACGATGCCTCACATTTATCTTTAATTTGATTTTTGCTTCTACAAAGATGTTGTACCTTTCTACAAGGGTACTCAACCCTGACTTCTCAGTTCACCCTGATGCAGGTGTATGCTTAGCTGTTTTATTAAAGACACCGAATTATTGGTCATTGATGATGGCTGTTTATGCTTAGTAGTGTCTTTTCTTTTTTTCTTTACTTCTTTTTTTTGGAACTGGAATGATTTTATGGAATGGATTGACCAAAAAAGAAGATATAGTGAGGTCATGTGTGTCGTTTTTCTTAGGAGACTTAACTCTTTATCTCCAAAGGGGTGAACCTACTGTGCTGGGGTCCTCTCTTGGTACAAAATCTAAAAGTGACATATATTCTTCACTAAACTGATCATTAACTTTTTATCTCCGCCAAGCCGCTCCCAGTGGCTTGCGGTTGGAACCATTGTGCCGGTGAGCTGCTGACAGCTGCTTGGGCACATTCCTTCTCGACGACTTCAACATCAAATTACTTTTCGGAAGTTGCAGAAAACAGGTCTCTTTTATCAGGATTTTATTCGTTAGATGAAGAACAATCTAATTAGGTTCACTTGTTTTGATTTAATCACCAATTTAGTTAAGTGATGATTTTGTCATTTTTACATTTAGTACAGAAAACGGGCCCCGGCATAGTGGGTTTACCCCCCTCAGAGATAAAGAGTTAAATCAAAACAGGTGAACCTATTTTGTTAGTTCTTCATCTAATGAATGAATGCCCAGTAAAAGAGACCTGTTTTTGGCAATTGCCAAAAAGTGATTTGATGTCGAAGTCGTCATAAAGGCCGTTGCCAGCAGCTCAAAGGCTCAGCAGTGCTGATCGTAAGCCACTGGGAGCAGCTTGCTGGACTTAAGGCTGAAATATTGTTTTTACTTTTATTAAATGCTTCCCTGAAATTATCTTTCAAGGGCATAAATGTTTTCACCCGTGCACCCATTGATATATTTTTAATTCCTTACTCTTCTTGAGATTTAGGCAAAAGGCTTTTTACCAAGTTTTCATTGTTCTCTTGCAGGTCCCACTGGTCCCAGTGTCGCAGGTTACCTCACTGCAGGCACCATGCGGTCAGCAATGCCAGATGCTCCTCCTCCCATTGATCATCACGAAGACCAAGACTAAGTTCATTGCGGTGGATGTTTTCTATTTTTGTCGATAATGAAAAATCTGGAACATGTGATATCACATTTTATAGCAGTCTAAGTCATTCTCAATATAGAAGAGCATTCTGAATATCCCAATATTTTCCTGTCTGAGGTGCTTTTCCCCTTTTCCCGTCTCCCTTTCTAGCACACATACACACCCACAAACATGTGAACATACAAATGGACTCTAATTACCAGTCATATCTCTCCTCCCCCTGCTTCCCAACCCTTCTTCTGATTATTTGTCTGCTTTTTAATGTATAACGTTACCCTCATTCATGTTGCAAGTTTATGGTAGCATTACCATTAGGTGTGTAAATGTTACACTCCAGTCTTTCTGTGAACAAACGCCGATCAAATGTCTGTGTGACTGAGAAAAGGGTTTTGAAGTCGCATGGGCATAATTTGAGAGGATTTCAAATTATCAACTATTTTATTTCTTTCTCACAAAATGATTTCTTCTTCTTCTTCTAAATATGATTTTGAAAGCTTTTAAAAACACGTTAGTTACATAACATGACAAAATGGCTTTTGATTTTGACAATTGATCACCTTATTAATATTAAAGGGCTATTTGGTCACATAAGGTCCTTATGAACCCCAGCATGTAAAATTATACTGTTAATTTTGTTGTTAACTCTCTTGTCTTCTGGTGGTTCATACACATAGTTTGCTGTCAGCTGGGAAGAAATGGAAGTAGTATGCATCTCTGACTGCCTGGGTGCTATATATTCATTTTTGACATCACATTTTGACTTTGGAATGTCTTTTTACTCGCAATTTCTGCATTATGAGTCACCTGTGTGATTATGTTGTCTTTGGTTTATTTTTTTATTGAGCGTGTGCAAAGATCCTGCACTACCTGATGGTTCACCCCTCTCTCTCTCTCTCTCTCTCAGCCTATTACAAAGGCATCCTCAAAATGACGGTGGTGGCCCCTGAGAATAATATATATACTTTGCAAACAGCTGACTATGAAAGTAAAGGGGTAACATTGGTACTACACTCACATCGCAGTTACTTTATATTGTATGAAAATTTAAAAAAATTTTTTTTTAAAGCTAAGAATGATTGTAACAACAAGTGAAGCTCCTTTTACAAGTCGTTTATAGGCTTTTTAGAGCTCAATTTATCAGAGTCACCGCTCTCTATAGATGGATAAATAGCAGTCGATCTGTATGTGCAAGGTGGTGCTACTCCTATTCTTCTTCTCAAGAAGCTAAAGAGAACTCAAGACAGTGACTGTAGCGCCATTTCAGAGTAAGCACCTATTTCTGTGGACACTTTTTTTTTTATTGTAGTATAGGATCTTTGTCATGTGTTTGCCCTGTAATAGTAATACCATTGTTGGATTTGATTTTTTTTTTAAGTTTTGTTCATTTTGCAGAGATGCAAGCATTTTTCTTAAGGTTAGATATACATATATATACATAAACGTTGTTTTTCTCAAATGCAGTTGGTACACCCCAAACTCACAATAGTGACCATGAGATATCTGAGAAATGAAATTTTTAAAGAAACATCAGAGTCGTCAGGAAAGGCCAGACTATCAACAGATTGGTCAGGAAAGGTTATATAATGCAGAAATGCATTAAACTACAACAATTTTTTTAATTGCATTCATAGACCCTTTTCTCAGGCATGCACACGAATATATTTATTTGTTTCTACCATGAAGAGGTCCTGCTGTTTGTCTCTTGAGATTTCCTATGCTTTTTCTGATGAGCATGTCGGAAGATGCATTTATTATGTCTTTGTTGGGTTTTTCCTCTATGCCAGAGCTCTCTTTTGGTACAAAACCTAAAAGTGACATATACCTGACTAAACAAGTCATTAAATCAGAACAAATGAATCCATTTTGGTAGTTCATCATCTAATGAAAAAAACTCCCTGTAAAAGAGACCTGTTTTCAGCAATTGCTGAAAATTAATGTAATGTTAAAGTCGTCGTAAATTAATGTGCCTGTACTGTTTCCTGCAGCGCATGGACACAGTGGTTCTGACTGCTAGCTGCTGTAAGCTGCTTGTGGAGTTAATACTTGCCTCTATGAGAGTTGGTAAATCTTACTTGTGCCGAACAATAAATATATGCAGTCTAGCTAGCACTTGCATTGTAACAAAAAGGCACATAGCAAACAGATTTTCAGGTTCAAATTTTTGGGGGTAAGGTCTTTGTATTCAAAACACACACATATAAGGAAAACATTTTTCTATTCTTCTCCAATTACTGTGTTCACTCCATGGTGAATACAAATTATAAGTAGATGGGCTGAGGTATGGCCATGTGGTTTATATGTTCAAATATTATGCCTGTACAATTTTTTGATGAATTTAATGGGTCATTTCTATTGCTTACATGAGTAAATGTATTATGAACAAATTATGTTTCCGTATAGTAAATTTTATTCAATGCAAAAATGTTATTGACAGTGATGGGGTTTTTTTTCAAACTGGATAAGTGATTTAATAGGTGACCAATGCCACCTGGTATAATCATTCATATATATATATATATATATATATATTATATGTATATATATATATATTATATGTATATACAGTCGAACCTGCCCTGACGGCCACCTCTATAAGACGGCCACCTGTGCTAACGGCCACTTTCCATTTCCCCCCTTGCGTTTTTTCTATATAATTTAACTGTGTAAGATGGATACCTGTCCAACGCGGCCACGGCCACCATATTTTAACACACAACCCCTATTGCACAGAGCAAAAACACCTGTATTAGACGGCCACCTTAGAGACTCCATTACGTTTTGTTATAAATTGTGCATTGGCCCCTGGCGTTGTGGGCGAGCCGTCATAATCCAATCACTTCTCGTAGTTGTTAGGTAGTCCCTCCAAACGATCATGTTGCGTTGGCCCCTCCCACTGTTGACCATTTGGTACCGATTTTCAGCTGCTGGTGAGGTAAGCGTGTGATCCCTCATAACCTGTAAGCCCCGCCCAAACCTCATACACAAATTGTAAGTGAGATGAGTGGTCACTGTTTACCCAGTCTGTTACAAAGGACGTCAACACAAACTTGCGACAGAAGCGTCGCTCGTTCTCCGAGTGGTGGCGACCCATGTGTTTGTTTTAACATGGCACTCGGTCTTCCTCGTCTGATACATTTCGTTTTATTGTCACCCTTGCGCAAAATCAGCAACAAAGTAAAAATAACAAACAAAATACAAACCAGCAACAACAAAAACAACAACAATGCAGCTACTTTCGATTGGGACTTCAGATGGGAATGGTTTGTTTTCATCTTGATCAGTCCTGCCTAAGACGGCCACCTGTCTTATACGGCCACTTTTCTCCTTGACAATGGGCGGCCGTCTTACACAGGTTTGACTGTATATATATTATATATATAATATATTATATATTAAGAGAGAGAGAGAGAGATTGTAGTTGATGAATGAGGTTATTGTGTTGAGCTTTTAAGCTACTATGTGAATATACGGACCAAATACTAAGTTTAATGAGACTGAAATTACATGTTCTTTCTATGAAACTAAACAGTGGTGTATATTTTTTATTTTTTTCTGGAAGAGGAACCTGAGACATGCTTTACACTTTTAGAATGCTTATTATAGAGATGTCTGACCCACCGGAGAAAGTGGACATACATAATGTTTGGAGCAATAGATAACATTTTTAAAATGTCACTAATATTTCTTCATCACTGTCTTTTCCGACTCACTATTTTGTCCTTTTGTTGTCTTTGTATAAAAATTAATATGCCCAAATTAGTTTGAAGAGAAAGCAGGCAGAACTTTCCAGTAAGGCATACTACAGATAAGGTTTCTGTCATTTTTCTAGCTCTCATCATTCAGAGAAAGTTATGAAGGACTAGCATTGTAAAATATGGGAAGGATCAATCAGAGCTATGATGGGAGCGTCAGTTGCCTTACCGCACTCAACCAGAGTGACAATGGGAGCTCTGCTTCACAACACGTCTCATAATGCTTCAATGTATGCTTTTACGGTGATTTGTGTTTTGTGTCTAGAAAATGTCGCCCCTCAAAAACCTGAACCCCTTCAAAAAGTAATTCCGGTGCACTGGAGAAAAAATTAGAATGGTAAAGAGTTAAAGTTACAGATATAGGATATCCAGCTACTGATGCGATAAAATCTAAGTACACATATAAGTTAGGCATAGAACATCTCTTGATACATACTTTAATTTTTCCATGGCCACAGCGGTTGCTATGGAAACGGCTGCCATCTTGAAAAAAAACCCCAGTGAATTTCAAATCCCTATATATGGCATTCTTATTTACAGACCAAATTCTACCAAATTTGGTGAAAGTACACCTGAACTAGTACCTATCAACAAAACAGGGAGTCTTTTTTTAATTAATGTAAAAGGAAAAAAAAAGAGAGAATTTTCCCAATGTAGCCTAAATCTTTTCTAAATTTTGGTTTCGTAATCGCTTGCCAATTAAAAAGTGTTTAGGTTTTTTTTCGCAAATATCTCTCTGTTACATTCACGGCAGCTTTGCCATCTATGTTTCCTTAAAGTTTCTTTTCAAAAGGATGAAAACTAAGGAAGTAGTAAAGGAAAAACTGAAAAAAAAATGACATTTTGAGAAAATGGACGACTATTGTGAAAATTCAATACATTTTAACCCATCTTATGTTTTCAAAGGCAATTTACAATGAGAATAAAGACTTTTTCAATTGTTTCCTTGCTATTTTTAGACAAAGAACTAGTTGATCTTCAAAAATCAGCCAACATCTCAATTTGCATAGCTTGACCCAAAATCAGTCAGATTGCTCCTCCCATTAATTATTAATTCATAGGTCTATACCTTGAAGTTTTTTAACTGATCTATACAGACAATAATTTTTACATAGTTTCATTGACCCTTACACTCTTGTCTGTATTAAAAGTTATCGGCAATAACAGGGCCTCATCGGAGTCAACCGGTTATAGCAGGGACAAAGACTCGTTAACAATGTGTAAAAAGTAAGGGATAGAGTGAGAGAGTAACGCAGTGATGGGGCAAGCCCATGCAAGCCATCTCACTGCAAGCATGTGAAGCGAGAGAGGGCTGCGGTGTGCTGCAGACCTCGATCTAGCCCGAAACCTCGCAACAGGCACGCGTAATGTGTCATGTGCAGGCCTGCCGCATGGCCAAATCTGGTCGTGCGCAGAGCTTGTTTCGCAGTTCGCAGCACACACGCATGCACCACACCACACTGTGACTGTTCACTAACAACAGTACATGTGTAGATTCTAGATCTACATTTAATGCACTCTGTGGACGACCGGTCGGCCTAGATCTAGATCTAAGCCTACTTCTTTCATTATGGCCACTAACGATGTCAAGCGCAAGAGAAAATGCCTTTCAGTTGACAAAAAATACGAAATAATCCAGGCTGTTGACAAAAAGCAAGCTCTACTGGCAGAGATTTGTCGTCAGTTCGACATTCTACACGTGTCAATTCTCACCATTATCAAGGATAGAGAGAAGATAGTGGCAGCATACTCCAATGGAGAATTTGCCCCCGATCGAAAGAAGATGAGACTAGATCTACCCGATGCAGATGCTGTGGACCAAGCTCTGGTTCCAAAACCCCTGCTCGTGGATACTTGTCGCAAGGGAAACTACCCATGAATAACTACAGCTGGATTAGTCCACAAATGCTTACTTTCTTTGCATTTCTGATTTAACAGGGATCAGATATAACAGGACTTTTTCTCTACTCCGACCATCCCTGTAATATCAGGTTTCCACTGTACGTTTTTTAGCTGTTTCATTGTTTCTATACTGGAGAAATGTGTCATGACATGATGGAATGGGGAGCTCGTCAAATTTTGGGCATGTGAAGAGGTGGAGTTGTTGGTATCATATTTAGGCTTGCATTGAATAGAAGTCCAAATATTTGCGATTGAAGATGATGGGGTTGCCTGGTTCAGAGGTAAAATTTGCAAGAAAAAGGCTGTCAAAGTTTGGTGACTTCCATATTTTGAGATTCCTTAGATGCTAAAAATTTACAATTTTGTGCATTTAATCATGTTTTTCAGTTAAATCCACACTGAATTGTGCTTTTAAGAGGACATAAAAGGTGTTAATCCACAAAGACAATGTAAGCCTATTGATAAAAATTACCAAACTGGCGAAAAAATACTGGTATCTTCAATTTCCTTATTTTGACGACCGCCTGATTTCATCACCTCACTAATATTTTTGCATTAATTTACAGTATGTAGTCCGACATATCATAAAAGTTCCATAGATCTATTGTAACTCAATGCAGTGGAGTCAGTCTGCAGGACTGCCGGGTTTTCTTGGGTTTTGCCATGTAGCCTATTTGGTCTATAGTGAATGCTCAAACTGCAAAGAAAAAAAAATCAGGGATTCCGTTTTTTTTGGTTTACTGCTGTTTTCAGATTAACTGTGTTCGGTTTATGGGGACTCCACTTTATATATTGTTCTCTTTCATTAAGTATTTTCTCATATAAACAAATTGCCAAATTTCCATAGAACTAGAGATACCTTCAATTGGCTGAGTCTAATTCTTAATATATAGAAACATCTCAATGACTTCTAGAATTAAATAAGGGTACTGAAAGTAAAAGGCTTTGTATGGTCAACCCTTCTATGCGGCTTTGAATGCCAGACAATTACCAAAGATAGGGTAAATATTAAAGGAGATTTGCGAGTTTCGTGGAAGGAAAATAAATCAAATGAGGAAGCACTGAAAGAATCTCAATTGGGCTGCTCATTAATTAAGAGCAATTAAGAAGTGACACTGCAGTTTTTAAGACTCTTGCATCGACTTAAAGGCTTTAAACATCTTGCACTCAATGGAGAAATAGAAAGCAATTGAGGCGGGGGTAGACCCAGAGAAACTTATTTGGACGATTTGAGCAGATGGGTGATGGAGAAACACCAGGATAGTGTGTCACGGCGTGGTGAAATGAGGCGCTCATCAATTTTGGGGCATATGGGGTTATTGGTATCATCAGCCTGTTTATTTGCCTTTGTTTAGGTGAAAAAATATCCATCAATGTTGAAGAGAAGTCGAAATATATGCGATGGAAGGAGGTCAGGGTTGCCTGGTTTGATGGGTAAATTAGTGAGAAAATGGCCACCAAAGTTTGGTAACTTCGATAGCCTGAGAGTCCTTGAAAACTGACAATTTACATATTTTGTGTCTTTAATCAATGTTTTTTAGTAAAATCCGAAAAAGTGTTTTTAAATGGACATTAAAAGTGTTGAGCCAAAAAAAAAAAAGAATATGAAAAAAACTGTCCATTGGCCAAAAAAATGCTGATTTCTTTGATTTCATCATTTTGATGAGCGCCTGATTTCACCACAATTCCTTACAATATATAGATCTATAGCTTTTTTTGATAGCATTCAAGTTCAAGGGGAGAAATAAATGGAGATACTGGTCGCTGATGTCTGTTTCAGATCTGTCACTTTACAATGATACTGATTAAGTAGCCTACATTATCTTAAACAATACTGGGCCTTCCCCTGTTTTAATCTTCTGATTGATTGAGAATGAGCTTATTTTCCTGACATCCCATCTAATTCAACTGTTTG